TATTTTCAATAAGCAATCCTGAAAAATATTTGGGGGTGCTTAACTTTTTTCCAGGTGTATATATATATATATAATGTGTGTGTGATGATCCTAGGACTAAGTAAAAGTGAGAAGTAGAAAGTAAAGTCTAGTAAGTACTAAAGGGAATTGAACTTGTTGTAAAATAAGAACTAAAAAAAATACTATTAAAACTTTGGGTTTTACCAAAATGCTTTATAAACAGTTTAAACATACATATACAACCCCAGAGATCACGGAAGAATATGTGAAACTTCAGCACCGGGAATTTATTATAGAAATTGTACGATGAATAAAATATGGAAACCAAACAACAATATATAAACCAGAAACCTGGTACAAACATAACTAAAATATGTTAACACCACACTTATTGTTGACGGATTACAATAACTGGGTACAAACATAACTAAAATATGTTAACACCACACTTATTGTTGACGGGATTACAATAACTGGGTACAAACATAACTAAAATATGTTAACACCACACTTATTGTTGACGGATTACAATTACTATAACAAACATAACTAAAATATGTTAACACCACACTTATTGTTGACGGATTACAATATTTCCTAGAAATTCACCATGTACATAAACCTACGAGTTTTTGTCAGGTTTAAATACATAGCCGTTATCGGTACAACTGATCAACGTAAGTGGCATACAAATTACGATATTATAAACTTAGGTTATACATAGCAATCAACTTTGTATTGATATTTTAAAATATTGAAATTGGGCTTATCAACATATAATTATGAAGTCGTAAACACGAATGCATAGCTTACCCGTGTTGAGTATTTTCAGAAAGAAATGCTCCTCAGTTCGAGCGAAAATATTTTGTATATTACTAAAGCAGCTCTTAACTACAGTTGCATATCACGTGATGTTCGAAACATCTCCTTTGTGTACTATACACGCCTCGGATATCGCGCCAGTCAGTACAAATTTAAACGGCTTCATAAAGGCAGGATATCAAACTTCAAAATGTTAACTGGAGGGAACATAAAGGCATGCGAACAAAAGCACTTGCTAATTATACATACAATAGCGTAGATGTATAAAAGGTAAATAATTTCTAACGAATCAGGTTGCAGCGGCTGAGACGATTGGATAGTTTATATTAGCAACAAACGAAACAAGAGAGAATGGCGTGTGTTTCAGCACCAAAGTGCCATTTTTTACACCGATTATAAAGTTGAAAGGTCTACTTAATTTCGATATGTGTACTTTAAGTTAATATTACATTTACACATTTTTCAGTCTTTGATATACGACTTTAACTATGAAAATCTTGCTATAATGAAGAGAAACAGGTGCAGAAAAATGACGTTGATATTTGGAATCAAGACATAAAAGTAGAATTAGACGTAGAGAGGTCCTGAGCTGAAGAATAAACAAAACCTTGATGATGACAGTGCATGTGAGGATGGGATACAGAATTTTCCAGTGATGGAATCATATGATCATATTCAGTCTGAGGTCCTCCTACATAATAGTAGCTTGTCGCGTCCCCTAGTGGACAGAATAAACATTACGATAAAACATTAATAAAGAAAGTTTTGCCGTTGAAATATAATACTAAAGCCAGGTTACCTAACAACCCTCAATACGTTTCAGTTAATTATTATAATACTTGTATTTTTCCAAAATATTTTGATTTTCTTCAACGTATATTTTAAATTTTCACCCAATTAAAATTAAAATGAAACTGTTCCTTAATACGTTTTTACTAATACGATATTTAGAAATGAAAAGTATGTTCCCTTGCAAAAAAGATATAAGAATATTATAGTGACTGACATATAATAAAACGCAAAGTGGTCTTCATAAAAGTAACGGCGATGCATTTGAAAAGAAAAACACTTACGAACGGTAATGAAAATTTCTCATATCTTAGTGGATATAAATCATTGAAAAGGAACTTACCGATGTGCCATTTTTGCTCTCTCATTTCTGGGCCTGTAGGAAATCCATTTTCTGATGGTGGTGTATAGAGGGCGTTAGCTGCAAGATGGCTACCTTGACAGCTAGAAAATGTAGCCGCCGTATTGACTTCTTCGTCCCTTAATGTTTTAGTATAATTTGACGCCATAAGGTGATGTGATTGAAAGTTTTCTGAAAAAGAACAAAATCGTTGAATAAATAGTAACTTTTAAGGATCCTTAAAATACATTAAAGACTCAATTTATTATATGACACAATTTCCAGAACAGGATGGACGATAAAGAATAATATGAAGACAAACACAGTCAGAGTATTTGGAATGCAACGTAATTTATACGTTCAGTATTTTGTGAAAGAGTAAGCGTGATTAGCTTATAGTCAATGATAATCTAAATTCTAGATCACTTAAAAATACGTATTTAGGCTTACTGAACAATTTGTTGTAATCTCTTCAATGTATTTACTGTCCTCGCTTCTTTAGTTAAAAAAAACGCTGAATTATCGCTTGATGAAACTATCTAATACTAACAGAGTACTTATTTTTATCTGTATATATATATATATATATATTTTAAACGAAACGTAATTTTCATTATATAGAAAAAACTTAAAGTAAAAAATGCAGTTCATTTAAGGTTCAAAAGAAAGTTTCTCATTTACGAATCTTTTCCCAGCAAGAAATATTTTAATATGATTAACATTATCAATTTAAATAGCTTGAGAATGTAAACTTGATATTTAGACACTAAAATATATTTAGCGAAGTACACCTTTTTTAAACAGTTTGCAATACCACATAAAGAAATGACAAATTCCGGAATAGGTTTTATTTAGAACTACTTTCTGACATAGTAAACGTTTTCTACAGATTGTAATTAATAATTAGAATAAACGAGAAAGATAAATTAATATTAATTTACCTACGTTATGAGTTTAAAAAAACCAATAAAGATGACTTTAATTTAGTTTTTTTTTCATTGCTAGTTTAAAAAGCTTACGTTGACTAAATTTTACTAACTTAACTATATAACAGTTTTATTTGGAATACTCTTTGAAAATGAAAATATTTTTCGTTATTGCTTCATAAGATAGGAGCTTATTATATAGGCTTTTGTTTTGTTGTTGTTGTTATGAATGACATACCGGTATTATGCCATTCAAGGTTGGCAGGAATTTTTTCGCCACTGAATTCCAAATTGCCATGAAACGTTGACCCAGGCATAAAGGAAGGATGGCCAGTGATTGACCGTCGTGAAGCAGATGACAAGTAAGGCTGATTTATATGAGCAATACCTGGCCAATGGACGGGTGGACCACTGTCACCAGAAGACTGATTGAACATTGCTGACGGATGCGACCAGCGTGAAGCTGGATCGAAAGAAGATGATGTTGGATGGTGTACCATGTACTGCTCACTAACTGCACTATAGTCGGGCACAGCCTGCTTCGTTTCTGTACATAGTAGGCAGAAAAAAAATACAAACTTGTAGGCAAGCCTAATCAAGCGATTGATCATGAAATATAATTTTTTTTACCAAATGTAATTCGCTAATAAAGAAATCAATTGAAGCTGTGTTAAACCTAATTTAAACCTGATGCAGACAACACAAAACAAAGTGAAATGCTTTATTCAAGTTTAAATAAAACCTAGAATAAGTTATTTGCAACTATCGTTGTTGTTTTTATTTTTTTTCAGAAAACTAAAAAATATAGATGTATTTAATCTAACTGAAACAATTGAACTAGGAGGCTGATTGAGACATAGAGCATGTATCATAGGATAGTTGGAGGCCATGGTGACACATCATATAAGGAAAAAGAACATTAAGATCTTTAACCTTCATCAACGAATACATGTCCGGCTAATTTTTACACGATTTGTTTTATTAATCTTCAGTTGTCATGCTCATAAGTAGATGGTATTTGTAAAAATATATTAGGCATTTGAGTTCAGAATATTTCTCTCCGTTACTAAGCCAAACAAAGGACCTCTACGCTCTGTACGCAGAGTACTTTCCAAACATTGGTGTTTTAAGAAAATAGCCTTCTTAATTTAAAAGCTACGAAAACATGTCTTTGGAAATAATTTGAATAATGTGGTAATTTGAAAGAAGTTTTTATCTACGTGTTATGTTCACTTCGTGTTTGCTTTTTTTTTTTTTCAGACGAAATAGGACCAAAATGTTTAAGACTTATCTCAACTATGAGCCGAAAATTAATGAAATATTAAATTGCATTAAAAAAGTGGTGAATATTCAAAGCTCACAACTTCAGGTGTCCCTGAAAATATGTAATTACCAGTAACTATGTGTTATGGTCACTTTCTCAGAATATTGCCATCGCTTTGAAAAATAAATATAAATTCAGGTGTCTACTAAGCAGTCTTATTGCACCACTTTATAATAAATTAAACAATTATAACTATAGATCTAGATCGTATTTTCAAGTTCTGTTTTTACTTATTATTAGATAATCTCGAAGAAATTAATTTGTACCAGCGGCTTCATTTGTATTATGATGAGAATCCCTCCACCTGTATTCCTCGTTTACACCTGGCGGCAACAAGTAACATTTCTCCGCAGGCGACCTAGCGGGATTTGGTGGAGAAGGCGCCGATTGGACACATGCATCACCTTGGAAATAGGAGCATAAAACTCTTTCCTTCGGAACAGGCATTTCTTCTTTCATTTTCTGGTAGTGTGGCGGTGGCCTGGGTTCTTCATTTATTGCCTCGACACTGTATATTGGTGAATTTTCGTTAGATATTTGGTGACGATTTGCGAGGTAGCATGTACTGGGTGCGCTGTACAAGGTCTTGTTGATCTCATTTTCTGGAAAAAGCAACATATTTTTAACATCAAACCCTTCGCTAAAATACACATTCATCATTTCTAAATACGAAAAGTCGAAAAAAAATAAATTTTCTAAATTTGACTAGTAAGGTTTAGACAAAAATTAAGTATTTTTTGTAGTTTTCATATATTCCAGCTATAAAAAAATATTTTTTTAGTAAAACTAATTTTCGAATTTACGAGTTTCTAAAACTCGTCATTATCTGTTCAAAGAAAGTACATCTTCATAACACAAAAAAGCACTTATAATTCTCATTCAAATAAACGAAAGATATCTTAACTTCAGAGACAGACGTACAAGAACATTTTTGCAAAGAAAACGTGATATTATTGCATATAGTGACACGACTATGCTTTACAAAGAAAACGTGATTTTATTGCACCTAGTGAAACAACCATGCTTTACAAAGAAAACGTGATTTTATTGCTTATAGTGACACGACCATGCTTTACAAATAAAGCGTGATTTTATTGCATATATATAGTGACACTCACGACCATTTTTTGCAAGCAAAACGGGATATTATTATAGTGATACTTATGACTATGTTTTACAAAGAAAACGTGATATAACTGAATATACTAATATGACGATGTTTTCCAAACAAAACGTGGTATTATTGCTTATAGTGACACGACCATGTTTTACAAAAAACAACAACAAAAAAACGTGATATTATTACATATAGTGACACTCACGGCTATTTTTTGCAAACAAAACGTGATATTATTGCACATAGTGACTCTTAATACCAAATTATATTCTGGCACTCTGAGATACTCACGACCGTCTTTTAGATGACGCTTTAAGAGACACTGGAGTTCCTCTTCCTTTTCCTGCTCAAATTGGGATTCAATAGCTAGCAACAAGTACTCATCGAGTAACATCCGAAGCAGATGGAAAGAAGCTGTGGAAAAAATTGCACTCTTTCTTGAATTTTGATGTGATTTAAAATATACAATTTAATGACGAAAAGCACCAGTTACTAAAAGTTCTGAAAAGTCAACGGTGGTGATTGAATTATTTTTCTTTTAACTAAACTCTCTACAAAAATGTGTCTTATTCGTATTTCTTTTCTGTAGTCTATAATTTAAGATACTATATTAATATATGTTCTTTTATTCCACTGGTTTAGGGTACATTAAAAAAATCGTTTTAACACATTAAAAAAAGGGTATAAACTATTAACCTTTCAAATCCAAATAAGATACACATAAATGTGTGGGTGCGGGTGATAAAGTTAAAAGAAAAATTAAAATTTTGGTAACAATTCGTAGTTAAAAAGTTCAATAAAAAGCTATTTCTTCTGGTATTTTCAAATCTGAACAACACCTTTTCTGCGACACATGAGCTAAAGGCCCAGTCAGAGACATATACGGGTTAAGCATAGCCACTCATAATCAGAACTTCTGACCAAACGGAAGCCAACCAGGCAGCTACTCTTAACCAAGTAGCAGGATTGACTGTCACGGTCAAAAATCCCCACCATTGAAAGCGTGGAACGTGTTCAGCATCGTGTCACGGCTCGAACCTTCTGATATTAGCCCAACAAGCTAATAGCTATAGGCCACAACTGACCTAAATGAGGAAATAACTTCAAAATATGATTATGTTTTGTTGTTCTTAAAATACAGGTCTTACAGTGCTATATTCCGAACATTTTAGGCTCTCCACAGTTATAAGGAATATAATCTAATCATAACTTTTGGAGTTGTAAATGACATTAAATAACTTGACTACAATAACAGCAACATTACTCATGATTACTCTCTTTATTACTTATTTAAAAATTAAGTTAAATTTTTAGACACTTGTGCACTTTATCTACAATGTCAACTATCTAAAGTTGTTACTAGTGTTTGATTGTTAAAACTTTAGTGCAATGGTACAGCGCATAGTCGCCCATAATTATGAACTGGTAGACTAGAAGCCACATATTCAACATCACCAACTGCCAACTCTTGTCTGATCAAATTATTTGACCATTACTCCTATTACGCACCCATGTCCCCAAATAGTACGGAATGCGTTTTTTCCTCAAAGTGATGCGAACTTTGAAACCTCAGATTCACAGACCTTACACGCTAATCACTAGGTGACGCCTATCTTTGTTATAAGATTTTGATATTTCGATAGCGCCATCTACTAACATTTGTAACTTTGTCGTAATAACGTATACATTTTACAAAATGACGCCTCTCAAAACTTGTAGTTCTATGGCTATAATATTTCAAAATTTCTAAATTGTTATCAACCGAAACTTTCAACTCTGTTGGTCAGAAATGTTTAGGTTTTATAAAGCATCATCTATCAAACTTTCTAGCCCTGATGATTATACAATTCTGATTGTTCTCAAGTGATACCTACCAAAACTGGCTGCTCTGTTGAGTGTCAAGTTGTGCATGATGCGGGCGCCGAAAAAGGACCACTTGAGAAGAAAATCTTGGGCTCGCTTTTTCAGAGACCTTCCATTTTGTCGGCTTGGCTGTGAATAATAAATATTTCTTGATATTTCAATGCTTGATAAATCATATGTATTCTAAAGAACATAAGAACATATTTTCTAAAATAATGCTAATTGAAATAGATGAAAGTTAAGTAGAAACCACAAAAATCAACTTTTTTGGCACACTGAATAGTAAAATCTTTAATATTAGTATCTACAGTGTAAGTTTATTCTATGCTCAGCTACAGCAGAATATGTTAAGGTTACACTGGTGTAAGTTTATTCTATGCTCAGCTACAGCCGAATATGTTGAGGTAACACTGGTGTAAGTTTATTCTATGCTCAGCTACAGCAGAATATATTAAGGTAACACTGGTGTAAGTTTATTCTATGCTCAGCTACAGCCGAATATGTTGAGGTAACACTGGTGTAAGTTTATTCTATGCTCAGCTACAGCCGAATATGTTAAGGTAACACTGGTGTAAGTTTATTCTATGCTCAGCTACAGCCGAATATGTTAAGGTAACACTGGTGTAAGTTTATTCTATGCTCAGCTACAGCCGAATATGTTGAGGTAACACTGTAGATACTAATATTAAACATTTTACATTTCATTGTGTCAAAAACTTCGGTTTTTGGTGTTTTTTACTCTTTCTATAGTTACACAATGTGCCTGAAAAGAAATTAGATGAAAGTTTTGTAAAAAAAAAATCCTGTCTTGTTTTTTAAGATTTAAGTATAGATTAGTTTGTTTGTTTTGAATTTCGCGCAAAGCTACACGAGAGCTATTTGCGTTAGACGTAGCAGTGACAAACTAGAGGAAAAGCAGCTAGTCAACAACACCCACTGCCAACTCTTGGGCTACTCTTTTAACAACGAATAGTGGGATTGACAGTGACATTATAACGCCCACACGGCTGAAAGGGCGAGCGCGTTCGGTATCCACAAGGAAAACCCCTTGATTAAGCTATGTTCTCTAATTTGATAGACTTAAAGCGATTACATCAAATGAAAGGGAAACATTTTAAGTTGTTTTGACATTACCGTTTCCTTCATACATAGTAACGTTTATATATATTTCATATTAGGTGTGTATTGCTGTACTTATTCAGCTATTGTAATACATGTATTATGCAAAGGGTTAATCGAACATTATTTGAAGAGTCTGATATATTAATACAGTGACTCGAACCTTCTCAAAGGCAAAATATGTTGCCTTATAAGTTTGGTTTAAGAGGACATTTCGACACACCTTTAAATCAATGAACGCCTTTTTTTTACGAGAAACATGGTCGAAGAAATTAGGATTACTCCCTTTTGTCCATATGACTGTCAAGTTCCCCCTCTGCCTTTTCAACGGATGTTTCTGTCTTTACTCTGTATAAATATGATTTTGGAAGAAGGTAGGGAAAACCTGTGAAGATAGTGATCTAAAATTACCCTCTCTATTTCTTACAGAAGCTCGTTACAATGGAATTTGTGGTGTAGTAACAGAACGTAATCATGGCCATCAACCTAGGCTCAAACGATGATGGTGGAAGTAGTTCCAAAAGGCGGCACGAGGCCTGGAACATTATTCTGTAAGTTCTCAATACACGTACGTCCTTTCTGTGGTTACTCTGATATTACCCAGGAATAAATATTTTAATAATTGAAATTCCCTATTTGAATACTATCCATCTTATTTAAAAGTTATAAGATGGATACTGAGAAAAAGGTTAAGTCTGTTTTTTTTTCATGTATGCTGATAACCTGTATAGGTGCATTAATTATCACCTATCCCCAGTCAAAACAGCAAAGGTGGAAATGTCAGAAATAGTTAAGAAAACTGAGCCACTTACAGAGTTATATAAAAACTCAGGCCTGAACACTACTGGAAAAAACAATGCCTGTTATTTTACTTACACAGCGCCAGGTAGGCTATGTCTTATAGTATAGTTATGTGTAAATTGAAAACCTATAGAACACACGTTACACTACTTATTCAAAATAATATATTTTCATACACTGTAATTAGATCATAATCAAGCATCATTAACCCACAGGTAAAACTTTAATTTCTCCCTACTGATGTAATATGATTAGGTTAACTATGTTACGTGTTAATAGTAAATAATCAGTTGTATGTTCTCGCTTTTAGAGTTTGGGTGATCAGGGCACACTGAATGAGCTTAAAATTCATAAGAGCTAGAAACAACAGTTTAGTAATAGGATTTCGTTGTATTTCAATGAGCTATTTCACCTATTTTTAACCAGTAATATCGGGTAACTTCCTGTCTTTGTGTGACTTGGACCTTGTTTGTTATTCATTCCTTATGACCAGAACCCCACCTTTAGGGATTAATATCTGTAGTTTTATATGGATTAACATCTCAGTCAATGAAGACGATAATGGAAGGAATTAATTTCAAGACAGTAATTTGTCAATACTGTCTTCAACTGAACATCTATGGGAATATATCCTTGTCAATATTGTCTTCAACTAGACATCTGTGGGTATATCTCCTTGTCAATAATGTCTTCAATTGGCCATCAATGGGCATATCTCCTTGTGAATATTGTCTTCAACTGGACATCTGTGGGTAGATCTCCTTGTCGAAGATATGCCCATTGATGGCCAATTGAAGACATTATTGACAAGGAGATATTCCCACAGATGTCTAGTTCAAGACAGTATTGACAAGGAGATATTCCCACAGATGTTCAGTTGAAGACAGTATTCACAAGAAAATATACACATAGATGTCCAATTTATTCTCAGAACAATACCAGAAAGACGTTTTTGTGATGGGTAAATGTACTAATACTTGTTTTTAGTTGTTTAAAGGATAACCTTATCCAAACAGTTACGTTGTTATCAGTTTCTGTAAATTTGTTGCTTTGTTTCAAGATTGAATTCTGTCAAAATATTTTTGTTTAATTTGTTTATATGCTTGATTTTCTGAGTTTGGCTTTTAGCTTTTGCATATATGTAACACTTTTAGATAAATGTTCTATTTAGAAATCAATATAATACTTCCGAAAAATCCTGCTGATACGTAAGCTTTTATTATTAGTATTTAGGTGATCAGAGAGATTTTGTAGATTAATTCCAGTATCATTTCATCGCTTTGGGAAAAATCGGCTTATCTTCATGATTTATTTTTGCATACATACTCTTGTTCCAGGGTGATCAATGAAATAAATCTTTGTACGTAACATTGAGTTTGTATGTTAACTTTTTCGTCTGTGTTTCTTGAAAACAACTTCTAAAAATTCTTTGTTTTTAGGATACGATATTGTAACTTTGCAAGTTGCAATCTACTGGATACTGAAGAAGTTGGATCAAATCGTGAATTTAAATTATAATCTATGAAGCTGTAAATTAATTCCGAGAAATATTATTTGGTATACAAATTACTTTTGTCGTTGATGTCAATTTTGTTTATCTTATGTTTAACCTTTTTTTTTTATCACAGCTCAAAATCCGTTTGTGTTATGTTTGTTTGGTGAGAATTCGTTTGCCCATGGTGGATACAGCAGATGGCCCAGTGCGGCTCTGCTGTAAATAAAAAAAAAAAAAACTGGTTAGAATTCATCTCGTTTAGATTCTAACTTTTAATTTTGTCAAAATATTTTCTTTTCAATCTTTTCATCTTAACCCTTTGTTTAGATTTCATCTATTGCATTTTATATATGTGCACCAACCAACTGTAGATCTTGTGCTTCGCTTTATTTATTGTCTGCCTTATTTCACCACTAGGATGTTCTATAGAAGACAGTCTTTCTGAAGGTTTTTATTTACCAGCAAGCAACAGTTTACAATATTTTTCTTAGAATTGCATATCAAAATAGGTTTGTTGCAACTTACCTTTATAATTTTTTGTTCTACTACAGTATCCAACCACTCGATAAAATTTTCCACAGTGGCTTGTCTCTGTAATTGTTCTTTAAAGTCTCGAAGAACTGAAGTTAGAGAATCGTAGAAATATTACACAAAATGAAATATTTATTTATCAAATACAAAATTCTGCATTTAGATATCCCATACTGTAGCTACTTCAATGTAAAATCAGCTTTATTGCTACAAACAATGACTATACTTATTACTGTTATCTTTTTTTATCAGTTACATCAATGCAGGTGTCGTTGTAGATAAAATCTGTTAAACTGTTATGTAAACGTAATCGATTCTCTCACCGAGTTCTTGTGAATACAAAATAGAAATGCAAGTTGTATTTATGAAACACCTGTGCCCTCAATAATATTAGCTGTTTGTTTATGATACACCTGTGCCCTCAATAATATTAGCTGTTTGTTTATGAAACACCTATGCCCGCAATAATATTAGCTGTTTGTTTATGAAACACCTATGCCCTCAATAATATTAGCTGTTTGTTTATGAAACACCTATGCCCGCAATAATATTAGCTGTTTGTTTATGAAACACCTATGCCCTCAATAATATTAGCTGTTTGTTTAAGCGCTCCAATATGATTAACCTTTGCCTTTGACCCGTGTCCTTCGATAGTAGGTTTAGAACTTTGTATGTAGTACCTGTTGTATAAGTTTGGTCCAAATCTGTCCATGATAGTAGGTTTAGAACTTTGTATGTAGTACCTGTTGTATAAGTTTGGTCCAAATCTGTCCATACAATCTTAAAATATCCTGTCCAAAAGATCGGGACGGGTAGATGGACGGACGGACGAACAGCGGTAAATCAATGCAAACCCGCTCTGCTTCGCGAAGCTATGGAGGGCATAGTTATTAAATACTATGATTACTGGATTTGTTTAAGTCCTCACTGGCTAAAAAGTTAACCACAACTTCTGTTTGTCATAAAAGGGAAATAATAATTACTTCCAACTTCATAGGAGCAAACATTTGTAATAAAAAAGATGTAAATTACAAGTGAGCTAAAATATCTGTTAACATCAAATTCCGTACACTCGCCATTAAGGTGGAGATCACATTCACCATCTGTAGCCGCAGTGTAGAAGGCTTGAGAACTGATGCTTCCTAAGTCCACCTTCTCCACGTCATCGTTCATCATACGGACGCTGTGGGCGTCGTAAAGGACTGGTCTAGTGGTCTTTTAGGTAAGAATCATATAATGAATTTCATTATTATTTTGGATAGAAAAAATGATTTAATTTAAAAGTTATGTTGAATTTTTTATAAATAACTGTATCAAATAATAGCATAGAAAAAAGGTTTAAAAGTCACCAATAAGTTTGGTCATTGTTTTCTACCCAGAGACCTCTTCACTATCAATGTACCAATTGGTGGAATAAATAATAACTCATTGTTATTGTTCTGCATAGCAAAATTTAGTAACTGAAGTATGCATTTTGTCTTCTACGATACAAGTGAATAGAAATCATGAGAAATATCCTTCTCAAAGAGTAACAAACAAAAACGCTTTCAAAGCTTAACAAGAAGAGTTTTTGTAAGCAAAGTTTGTTCTTTTATAGCTTGCCTACGAGTTTAATCGAGTTTTTAACTTATTCCCTTCGTTGTAGGATGTGGTCCTAGCGAATTTGTACAGTTTATTAATAGGTAAGATAATTAAGAGAAAATATATATTTTTTTAATTTAAATGTTGCTCTGTAATGAAAATGTAACACCAAAACCTATAACCAAACAGCATATAATTTACCTGAGCCAGGTGGAGGAAAGAGATCTGACGTTTGAGGGATTGGGCAAACAGTCTCGCTACCGGCTGCTTACTCTCGATGAGACTGCGGGGAAGATTCTCAAGAGAGGTGGACAGCCAATTCTCCCACTGTTGCGCCAAGTTTCGAATATCACACAGCAACCTGAAAAGGAGAGATCATCCAGTTCGCCTCCACCAAATGACAAAATAAATACAATGTGTGATACGTTGATATTAGAGAAAAGTAATACATGATCAAAATATGTACCTCTACAAAAATGCAAAGTCACAAACATTGTAAAACCACTGCTTTATATATCATAGTCTTACTAATAGATACGACCTCCCGCACGTGTCTCCTAACAGACATGAAACAAACAGTAATGGGGCTGTTTTATTGTCTCTGTTAACGACTTTATCGGAATTCTATGGCCTAGTTTTATTTATAATATAACTACACGTAATACAAGAGCACAGCCTCTTCAGTTATTTCTTATATTTAGGTTTAGCATTTTCACATAAAAACAACTAGCATGTTGAAGAATAGAAACATTAGGTTTGTATATTGTTACGACAGCGGAGGTCACGTGACGCTAGTAACACGTCATGAACTTCTAGAAGGATCCTGTCCCTTCCTGAAGTCTCGAGGGGCTACTAGATATGCGGTAGTCTTGTACATATAAGCCGCCAAGAACTGACGGCAACAATGTGTAATTGACAGTTGAGTCGAGCACGTGAGACATTCGTTGTGTATTATAGCGTTTGTTATAGCGTGACTGTGGAAATTAAGTGTATTGCAAAGTTGTATTCAGGAAGAATAAACCAGTTTTATTTAAGAAAGGACTTGTATCGATAAAGTTTCATCGAAAAGAAATTTTTACGGAAAATTAACTAACAAACGGAGGCGTAATAATATAATGTTTCTGAAAGATCTTAACGAAATTGAAAACAACAAAAACAATAATGTGTAAGTGACAAAATATCACAAACAAACAACTTTTTCTTTCCTTAGTTACTTACGTTTCTGCCATTTCTTGCATGGTGGACGGTATAAGAACGTCAATCATCGTCTATTAAAAGATAAAATAAAACAAATATTTCTGGGTCTGATAAGGTAATTTATGTCACGTCACTGGTTCCGAAGGTTTTGTTATTATACAATAGAGTTTGATAAGAAATACTAAAAACTTATTTTCTTGAACTCTTATATATATTGGAATTTGAAGATATTAACCCAACAGGTTCTGAACGACATAAAAATCTTGCCTTGTAGAGAATCCAATCACAGATGGCTATGATGTCATCAACAAACTGGGTTTTAACTAGTGGAAGCATGTGGTCTGGAAGTCCTTGCCAGAAGTGAAGCAAAAAGCTTCGAATCTGAATACAAATAATTCGAAATCAAATACTGAATATTATTTTAAATCTACGTAACTAGTAAATCAGGCCATAATAATTCAGTCTATTCGTAATAAAAAAATTGAACATAATAAACCAAATAATTATGTATACATGAAGTTTTATAATTTATTGAATATTAAACATTCACATATCACGTTTACCTTTTCAGATTTGGTTGTTATATAGTATTAAACTTACTTTACGACCAACAAAATACTCCAGAAAAATGTCAAAGGCAAGCGATCATGCAACCAATATTTTTCTTACACATTATTTATAGCCTATAAGTTCGTAGAATACGGAACTGGATATTGTACCTAATTAAAAATAACTAAAAATGAATATGTTTCTGAAACCACACTATAAACAAGACGAAGCCCTCGAATGTACTCGTAAAATGCAATACGAGTGTGTTTCTTGCTTTAATTATTTTAATTACATACCCACCTCTTCAAAATGCTGACTAATTGCTGTATCCAGTATACACTGACAGTGCGTTCTGTACATTGTCAGAAAGATTTGAACCTGAAATTAAGACAAGAGGGATTTTGTAAACAACTCAAGAAGGTTAAAAAACATATTTTGTCTAAATGTCACCGAAAGGAAATTACAGAGGAGCACTATTAAAACCTGAACACTTGTATTCGCTTACACGGCCGTGTGACCTTAAGAAACGTTGACCTTGCCAACCTTACTTACACGGCCATGTGACCTTAAGAAACGTTGACCTTGCCAACCTTACTTACACGGCCATGTGACCTTAAGAAACGTTGACCCTGCCTTACTTTTCACCTTCAATACTAGTCCAAACAAATTATTTCGAAAATATGTAAAACAATTCATTTTTGGATTTTATTACCTTGACTGGCGATTGAAAGATTTTCAAACTGAATTTTAATATAAGATCTTAATTTTTTTGTTTTCACAGTTTTACAGATACACGCGCTGAACGTTTAAAATAGTCTTACTTACTTTTCTAATTACACTCACAAATTATTATTCTCGTTCATTCTGTTTCTTTCACGTTTTGATGTTTGGACAACTTTTTTGTCACTTATTTGTTAGATAGCGCACCCTATTTTACTTCTTATATTTATTTATTTATTAGCTTGTGTGATTAGCTCTTCCAGAACCTTGTGGAGATAACTAGTACAAAGTTTATCAGATAAAATTTATTACTGGAAAAAAATAATAATAAAAGAGAGGGTGTTATTGAAATCGGCTATATACGAACGTGTTCGGAAAATGGATTTCTGCTACGTTTAACATTTAACGTGGTTGATAGTAGAAAACTCTTCAGCGAGTTCCAATTCTGTCATCGTCAGTTAGAACTGAACTTGTACATCTTTATTTCTTTCGATTCCAACTTCACTAGTCCAGTAATGATATAATGAACTGCCCGCCCATGATCAAACCTAAGTAAATAATCCTAAAGAAGGCACTTGTGATGCAGGTATAGTATAAAACAAGAGGGAATCCTCAATAACCACAGCTCTTGAAATTCTTTTAGGCAGGATTAGAGTAAATTTATGTATGAGACCATTTTTTCCTTTTATGTTTTTGTGCTCCAGCAATACAAAGCGTTGCGTATATCCGATTCGATTTTATTACTAAATTTACCGCAAAACTTGCAAGGAGGGTGGAGATTTTTCCTACATATGTTTAATGGTGAAAGCTCTAGACATCATGTCCCGATTTTCTTGCAAAAGCACCATATGGGGGGAAAACGGTTTTGAATTTTGGTTCAGAACATAAAAATCCACCGGTGAAACATTATGCGGGACATTTTGGGGTGTGACATTTGCTGAGATATCTGTGCAAGATTTTAATGTAAATTAATTGGGAAATGAAGAAATACGGAAGCAGATGCTGAACATAGATGAACGTTTCGCTAGATACAAGCAAGATATTATGGATATTTGAAGACAATTCCCAAATATCTCTTAAGAGTCTCATTTCTTTGGTATATCCATTCCCATCAAACACATTGAAGTTTATTTGTATTTCCTACAAAACTATCCAGAATAGAATACCTTTTTTAAACATAAATAGAAAATAATATGTTTACAAAAGAATTATTTGGCTCCTTACACGGGTTATCATCGCGACGCAACAAAAACAATGAGATCTAACTTAAATATCTCAATAAGTAAGTGAAAAGATAAAACATCTATTGTATCAGTTTTTTTTTAGTTGGCTTTTTTATTAGTTAATATTTCAAATCACGTGTCTCAAACACTAAATATGTAGGGAAGTTGTATAAATATATCTAACACAAGTAAATAGACACCTAATTTTTCGTCATTTAACTGATTTATGCTAACTAATTTGTGTTCACAGAGCACTATATAAATGAAACTGGTCCGCACACTAATTATCTTGTGCTACAACATGCCTAGAGCTCAAGGTTCTCCCGAATTGTCAGATTTTGTTAGAGGAAGGATAGTTGGTCAAACAGATGGTGGAATAAATCAGCGGCAAATTTCACAGAGTTTGGGAATCCTGCTTTCGGCAGTCAACAGAATCATCGTGCAGTTCAGGAAACACGGCAAGGAAACAACT